AAAATGATAAAATTTCAACTCATGGTCCAAAGCAAACATAACATTTTTATTCAAGAAGGACTCCAGAATTGACCCATCAAACTACAGACCAATATCTCTCACCTTGATTCCTTGTAAAATAATGGAGAAACTAGTAAATAAGGCAATCATGCAGCATCTAAAATCAAACAATCTTCTATAAAATAGTCAACATGGTTTTTTAGAGAAAAAAGTATGGATTCAAATCTCTTAAAAACAATGGGCTTCTTGACTGGAAATACAGCCAGAAAACTACCAGTTGACGTCATATTTTCGAATTTTGCCAAAGCATATGACAAAGTGCCACATCAACAAATGCTTTACAAACTAAAAATGTACAGAATCAAAGGTAATCTTCTCAATTGGATAAAAGTTTTTCTACTTAACAGGTCTCAACAAGTCATCCTTGGTGCTCACTTGCTGGTCAACTTCAACTCCAATTATATATTGACAAAATTTTTCATTCGACCAAGTCTTGGCTTATGGAGCTAAACACAAAGAAATGCAAGGTCATGCACTTTGGCCAAAAAAATCAATTCTTTTCAAGAACTTAATGGAGGAATTGGGCCCTTGTTCAATAACGACTTGAACTGCATTGGAACTACAAATTACCAATGATCTTAAAGTAGAAACTCAATCCATCATTGCCTCATGTAAAGCAAAGAAAATGCTAGGCATCCTAAAACACACTTTCCTATCTCGTGATGCTTCTTTATGGAAACAAATCTACTCCACCTATATCCGTCCTTTACTTGAGTTTGCAATTCCAGCTCAGAACCCCTCATTTGGTGAAGGATGAACAAACTATTGAGCAAAGAGCCACAAAAATACCATACAAACTGAAAAAGTTAGACTACAAGTCCAGATGTTTACAACTTGGTCTATTTACTCTAGTTAAAGAGGAGACCTCATCCAAAAATAAAAATTTTTTAATAACATTGGCATAGGCAACTGGCACTTTCCCATCATCACAATTCCACCACGAGCAAATCACAGAGAAAGACTTCACCGAGAAAAGTACAGCAACCATTTCACTCGCTTCCACTTTTTTAACAATTGCATGGAGAATTCATCGGACATATTTTTAGATAAGTAATCGATTCTCTAACTGTCAACAGCTTTAAAGCGAGCCTCGATAAGCTTTAATGTTACAACAGCTTGCAGCTTTCCTAAGTGAAAATTGCAATATGAGCTTCACAAAAACTAACTATAATCTGACTATCTATGATTTATATTTTGTCAATTATTTTTACTTTTGTTGTAACAAATATATACTACTACATCATGCACATCTAATGCAATTTATATCAACATATTATTCATTCATAATTAAATTTTGAAAAATAAAAATTTTTCATTTGGCTTATGTCACCTCTTATGTCACCTCTTATGTCACCATTTTACGGTACTTGTTCTAAGCAATCAAAATATGATGATTTAAAGACAGTATATAGTCATGTCATTAACAAATAACTTTAAAGATTTTTTGTTTACATTTGTTAATGTCATCAACAAATAAGAGCCACTTTAAAGATTTATCGTTTTACTTTTTTTTTTTATTATTAAGTTGATTTAGGTGCCCCAAGAAGTCCTAACGGTCTTTTCACAGAGCACCGCAGGAAAGCATTTAATAGAAAGTTCGCGCCTTCTTCCCAACCGATGTCTCAAAACTTGCCCAGAGGTGGGGTTTGAATAACGGGTCTTACGTTTCTGAGGCAAGTGCGCTACCACTGCGCCACGGCTGCTATAAATATATATATACTTTAATGAAATCAGGAAAAATTATTAATATAGATGAGGAACTGAAGCATGACCAAAGATGGAACTAGGTTTTTTTTTTTCTAGATATTTCTTTTAATTATTTTTTTTTTTTTTTTTTTTTGATTTCTAAAAAAATATTCCGCAAATACAAATTTAAAAATACATTTTTCCAATATATTTGTTTTTTAACTTTTTCAGTCATAAAAAAGTCAGTTCATACAAAAAAAAGGAAAGTTAAAAAAAAAAACAGCTTAAAGGAAAGTTAAAAAACAACCAGCTTAAAGCTAAATTAAGACAAATATAAGAGAAATAAATTCTTTTTTTTTTGCCAAGTGTTTTTCAGAATTTTAAAATGACCTGAATAATCAATGAATGACATCTTGTGGGACCCCAGAAATTATTGGAATTAAAAGTGTTATTCATATTGAGCAACCTTAATCTATTTATTGAAATTCCACCCAGAAGATTAGCAAGCAAAATATTAGTTTATATCAAAAAATTATAAAGGTTATTTGTGAACAAATGCAATCAATCTTGATCAAGAAGATCAACTGCAAAAGATTTTAGAACCAAAACCATCAAAAATTTGATTAAAACAAACTTAGAAATTAAAAAAAACAAGTATCTGCTAGTTTGGAAAAAAGAAAACAACTAGCTGATAAAAAGAAGTAGGTTAAGCATGTTAAGAAGTAGGTTAGGGTAGGGTAGTAGCATTTTAAGCAAAGCATGAGCTAAGAAATGCTGAAAAGATAATAAGGCATGATCAAGTGATACAAAAAAACATCACAGTGATCCACTAATAATTTTTCTAATGAAAGGTTATTCCTGAGTTAACACACAAAATGATTAAGTTTATGGGGTGAGTTTGGAAGCAAGCCCACGTAATGTAAGAGTTACTCCTCAATACCAAAATGCATCAGGAGTTATAGTTTTTGGTACATTCTTACTGGAAGAAAAACTCCTACTGTAATTTATAGATAGAGGAATTTAAATCCACTAGCAACTCTATTTTGATAACATCTGAAGTCTGATATGAAAAATCATGCTGATAGAGTGACATTTGTCCACTTTCAGCGAGATTCAGTCCCCATTTATAAAGAAAAAACTGTTTAAGTATGAAATGAGAAAAGTTTCTCTCATTTCATTCCAATGTCAAACTTTTAAATAAAGTTCATACAATTATTAAAGAAAAAGAAGAAAGTTTTGAATTGCCTTTTTTTAAAAAACCAACTGTGGACATTTCTAAATATCTATGGCAATTAATATCCAGTATTAATTGTTAGGGTTAGGGTTAGGGTAGGTTCATGATTAGGGTTAGGGTGACAACCCTGACAATTAATAACCAGTATAAATTGTCAGAGTAAGTTGTTAGAATCAAGATAAGATATTAGTTTTTTTAATTAAAGATTTAAAGATTTAGTCTAAAAAATGAAAAAAACTTGGTAATTGTTAGAGTGATTTGGGCAACCTCCTGAGTTTTTAATTTTTTTTACCTTAGATGCCATTTTCCAGCATGCAGTAATAAAAGATTCAATTAAGCATGTGTTAAATAGAGAGAAATAAAATGAGTTCTTAAAAACAATTTTGGAAGACTGTGACAGAAACGTTATCTGACAAACTGTAGTCGACTTTAAGTGGAAAATAAGATTTGGATTTAAAATAAATGTCTAACAATAGATAAACCTTTTTTTTCTGGGATGATAGCCATTGATGATGACCATTAAATTCGAGAGATGAGTTCAAGGAAAAGTTCTTTTCAAATAATTTAGCCTTTTTTTAAGAACATAAAATGAGAAAGATAAAACCATATTGTAGTGTCCACCTAAAAGAGAGCAAGGAAAAACGGAGTACAAGCAAGCTTCAGAGATGAAATACAAATCATCAAAATTAAGTGATGTCTGGTTGATGTTAATAATGTTATGGATTGTCTGAAAAACAAGTTGAAAAATATAAATAAAATTTTGAGCCACTGTTAATACTCTAATATTTTAAAGATCTTAAATGAATCAGCATCTCAGAGAGTTACCATGAGGTTTGGAAGACTTTACTACCAGCCAACCTCAAGACCATTAAACAATGTTTTAGAGCTGTCCTCACATTCGAAGTAAGAGTTAGAAAGCCACTCTCAAAGAAGTACTAATAAAAACCCATAAGTAGAGTAAAGAAGATCCATTCATCAACAAGGAGACAATGAAACACATGTTTACATCTATGCTAGCCTGCTAAATAAAGAAGGGATGCAAGGCTGGATGACAGAGATTTTTCTTTTACCCTTAAATCTTTGCTTAGGAGGCTTTTTACAAGACATTAGCCCATTAGTATTAATATAGAGACATCATTTCGAGCCTGTACTTAACCAAGAACCGTAAAGCACAAAATACACCCTATTTTAAGTGAAGCTTTATTTGGCGTTGACCCAGTTAATTTTAATGGTATCACTGACTTATCTAAACTATATAATTTTTCTATTACTAAAATACTTAAACTCGACACATCTAAACCAGAAGAATTGGGAAAAAATATGCTTGTGTCTAATAATCTAAGTACTGTCACATTTACAGTGTGTCTTATGTTAAAATCAAAATATTCTAATGATTGTTAGAATCAAAATTTTATACTTTTAGAGTTTAAATTTTCTTTTTTTCCTGCTTTCTATTAGTTTTTTATTAGCAGGAAAAAAATTATGCTTTTTATTAGCTTTTTATTAGCAGGAAAAAAATTATGCTTTTTATTAGCTTTTTATTAGCAGGAAAAAAAGATTGTTTAAACTCTAAGAGTATGAAATTTTTCTCTTCACTTCAGAAACAAGAACAACTTCACATAGAACCCACGTTGACTGAACCAGCAATCAGTCTCACACCTTACACTGAAAATTTCACTATATAGGTTACAGGGCAGTTGACTTGTGTTAGAACTCACCCTGGTTGCTGAAACATACTTGACGATAACCAGTATTTTATTTATGACCAATGGCTCACCTGAGGGCAACAAAATTAAGTTTCAAAAACGTTTTTTATCTTTAGTTGAGTTGTCTTTACCATGGCTAAAGAACTTCTTCTGCCTAGAAACAATTTTAATATCAGTTTAAAGTTTAAATGTAAATTATTAAGAAAATTATTGTTATTGATTAGTTAATGTTGTAGTAAACACTTTAATTAAAATCTATAAAAGTTGCTACATCTTTTGAAAAATTTATCTATTTCCTCTATATTTACTCTTAGATTCTTGCACAAAACATCCCGTTTTTGAATATTTAATCAGTCAATGTAATGCAGGCTACAGTGCATCCTCAGAAGAGAATCAAGATTTTAAAGCTGGTTGGTTACCACCTTTAAATCTTACTGAAAGAATTAGAAGAAGAAAGGGAAAAAGAAAAGCAACGTGGAAAGGTCTAGAAGATCCTTGGCTTTATCAAAGTAAAATTTTATAAATTATGTTTTGTTTCAATATATTAATACAATACAGTTTAATAGTATAACGATATATTATTAATGTTTAAAATCTAGTATAAGTTTTTAAACATTAATAATATATTAAATGTACTTTAAACAATAAAAATTATTGTTCTTAAGTAATCTCATATGCTATTTAGTACTTTTATATTAGTATATATATATATATATATATATATATATATATATATATATATATATATATATATATATATATATATATATATATATATATACATATATATATATATAGTTTTTGTAATCTTTATACTTATTATTTTATGTTTTAATACACTAATTGTGTTTAAAATACATTATTAATCAATCTTGATTCATTAAAAAAAAAATTTTTTTAGCATCAACGCAGTTAAATAGTCCCTTCCCATTTAATGGTTATTTCAACACATACCCTGGATCATCATATTCTGTAAGTATTGGCCCAGATAGAAGAACAGCAAACAAAATTATTAGAGAATTAAGAAAATTTTTTTGGGTTGACAGATACACTAGAGCTCTTTTTACAGAAATTAATATTTATAATGCTAATACCAATCTCATGTTAATTGTGACATTTTTACATGAAATGCTCCCCACTGGTGGTTGGCACTTTTATACAAATGTTCAGGCCTTGCGATTATATCGATATGTTGGCGGTCTAGGACAATCAGTTATTTTATTTGATTTAATTTTTTCAGCTGTAACATTTATAGGTTTATATAAAGCTATCCGAGCATCTCGTAAAGTTGGGGTCAAAGTGTATCTTTCCGATCCATGGAACCTTCTACATGTTATTGTTACCGGTAACTCGATTTTAGCCATAATCTTTACGCTTGGTCGCATGTTAGCTGTAAATGCTGCAGTTGCAGATTATACTTCAGACCCAGAATTATTTGTTAGTTTTCAGTATGTTGGCCAACTGGAGTATCTAATTATTGGTTGTTTGGGCTTCATTTTGTTTTTTACTAACCTAGAATTTTTGCGTATATTGCGTTTCAATCGTTTAATTGCTATGCTTTGCAAATCTGTAGTTGTTATGGCTAGTCCTTTATTGGGTTTTGGCCTCATGTTTATAGTTTTATTTATGGCATTCGTAAGTTTCACAAACTGTATATACGTTGATAAGCTTGAAGATTTTCAATCTGTTACAAGTTCATTTGTAGCTATGACTCAAATGTTTCTCGGAAAACTATCAGTTTCCGATTACTTTAACAATGCTCCAGTATTCGGTCCAATAATGTTTGCATCGTATATGCTGTCAATTCAAATGGTTATGATAAATTTGTTCGTTGGATTGATTTGTGATTCTTTTGCAGAAGTTGGTGAACAAGAAACTGAAGAAGAACCTAGTGTAGTTGGTTTTATTTTCGATAGGGTTAAAAAACCTGGTAATTTTGATTTTGAAAAAAATTTCATTTCTAATATTTTTTGCTGCTATTATTATATCCCACCCTAATAAGGGTATTATTATATCCAACCCGGAGTAGTTTATGGAAGTACTTAGTCAACATAAAAGCCACGTTTTGTTTTAGGTAATGAGCCAGAACCCATATACTCCGAATGGAGAGATGAATGGGAACAAACAATATTTGACTTGGAAAGTGGTTGCGACAACTGTACATATGTATTGAGAAACATGGAAGCAGATGAACTCAGACAAAAAAAATTTTTTGAGGAAGAAGATGAGTTGAAAAAAGAATTGTTGGTAGCTGTGTTAGGTCTTGATTTCTATACGTCAGAAGTCGAGGTTTTTTTTTGTGTTTTTTTCTTATTTTGATTAGTTAAAAAATTACGTCAACATAATTTATTACTTTAAAACACACGAATCGAATATTTCAGCTTAAATCGAGATATTATAATATACACCAAAATCTTTTCTTTGATTTATTACCTTTTTTGCAAACTTATTGCCAGTATGTATTTATCATAGATTTTTTTGAATTAGCTTTATTTTTAGTTTTGCGATGGATTATCTTCGCTGGAAAAGAAACTTTTAAATATGACCTCTGAAGATGCAAAACTTTTTTTGAAACAAGCTGCTGCTAAACGACTACTCTCATTACAACAAGAAAATATGCAGGATCAAAAATAAAATATGATGATAGAAAAAAAATTTAAATGCCACTTGATTTTTCATGAGGTTTTCACAGACATTTTGGTAGTTGTAGTTGAAAGAAAAAAATCGACTATATTTATTCGCCAAATCATTTGTTACGAAAATGGTTTTTGCACTTTTTTCTTCTTTAGCACATTATTTAATAACAACAGTAATACGTCATCATTACGTCAACATCAACTAATATGTTATAAATAATATAAATAAATAACTAATATATTACAATATATTATAAATAAATAAATTTAAAAAAAAATTCTTTCTTTTTAAAGATTTATAAGAGTCTCTGCTTTGTAATGGATCAAAACAAATTTTAAGATTACGTACATATACGTACGTACATATACATACGTATATATACGTACGTACATATACGTACGTATAAACTGATTTTTTCATTAAATCACAAGACTTCGTCAATTACCGACAAATTCGTCAGTACAACTAATCTAATTGAAAAAACGTCACTTGGAGACTCTTTTATTGTGTCTTACCTAGTATAAAAAAATCTTACCTATAAAACCCCATTTTTAGGGTGATTGTAGGAAGCTCTTCTTTGTTTGGGATAATAATCTTCTAAGTAATTCTCTCAAGATAACGTTACAGGAAATTTGTTTTCTGATCACTAAAACAGGTTAACATCGAAAAGGGCAACCAATTGTTAAATTTTATCTAACAGCGCTAACTCACAAAAAAGCACGTTAAGGCGATAAAAAAAATTGTATGACTACGTAACAGTGAAACTAACATAAGTCAATTTAAAAATTCACAAGACGCTTATAAGTTCTTTGAATATAATTTCCACACGTATCAATTCCAAAACATTCTTCACATTAGGGTGTATCATGTTTCAGTCAAAATTTAAATTTTTAAAATTTTAACTAGCATGTTTGGATTCCTGTGTATTTAGGTATAAGAAATTCAGTTTTAATAATATATCGTAAAACATTAATGTTTAGCTCTCAATGAATTGAGTTGAGTTGATGACAAGTTTGCAGTGAAAACTGGTTTAGTAATAATTTTTTTTCCAATCAATAAGTTCTTTGATGTCACAAGTATCAAGGTTTATTATTTATGAAACTTTAAATGGTCTAACATCAGTAGATGCATGTTTACTTTCAGCCTTGACGCCAATATTATGTCAACGGCAAATGACCTTATGAGTTTATCAGAAAAGAAAAGTACATCAGGGTGTGCCCACCAGGATTCACTTTTTAGAACTTTATGTTGAATCAACTGATTCTTACAACAACTTGATATTTGATAATTTTTACTATCAAATATTAAGTTGACAAATAATAACTGATATAATTATGGACGAACCAATTTTGAAAAAAAGTGAACTGCATAATGCTTTTAATAGTCTTAAAAAATAAAAGTGCAGGTATTTATCAAATTAATATTAATGTAATTAAATCTGTTTTTAATAATATTGAATCCTCATTATTCCAAATTTTTAATCTCTCACTTAAATCGGGTCATATTCCAGACAAATTAAAAATTGCAAAAATCATACCTATTTACAAATCTGGTGATGAGACTAATATTATAAACTACAGACTTATTTCAGTCTTGCCCTGCTTTCCTCAACTAATTGAACACATTATGTATAACAGACTTTTTAAATATTTAACTGAAAATAAGATTTTATATTGTAATCATCTTGATTTAAAAAAACGATTCTACTGACCATGCAATAATTGAATTAGTTAAACATATATAAAATGGAACTAATAGTGATTACTATACCATTGGAGTTTTTATGAATTTATCCGATGCTTTCGACAAACATTAAATCGTGAAATACTTTTAAAAGAACTAGAAAATTGTGATGTTAAAAACAAAAACTAATTTTGGTTGAAATCATATTTAAATCAGAGAAAAAAATTTCTACTTAAGGTGGTACATAACCATAAAAAATAAAATTGGAAATAAGACAATGCACAACAATTTTTTAATTTTTTTTCAATTAAAATAAACTATTTAGAAATAATTAAATTAAAAAAGTAGTTAATTAAGTATTTTTGCCTCGATTATTACTGAAAAATTAATATTTTGATGATATATTGTAAACAAAATATTTAAAAAACCTATATAGTTAAAGACTTGAGAAATTCACCAGTTCTTTATTGTATTGTAATGCAGGAGTTAAACTAAAACCAAGTCATAATACAAAGTAGTTCAGAAGATATTGACATTTTTTACTTGTTGATTATATTTTGTATAGTTAGGATTTATAAAAAGCTCTATAAGATGACAAGTTTTGTGTGTAAAATAATAGTTTTAGTTCAACTCCTGCCATTAAAGCTTTAAGAATATGCAGGAAAAGCATTTAAGCAATTAAGCACTAAGAAAAAGTAATAAAATAAAATAAATAAAAGCAATAAAATAAAAGCAATTAAGTATTAAGAATATACAGGAAAAATTTTAACCTAAAAGCTTATCCTGATCTTGAATTATCATGTTTTAAAGTTAACAAAATGGTTAAAAATTAAACACTGAGAAAGTTGCAAAAATAAAGATAAACTGACAAAAAATATTATGATTTACTTAATATGAGCCTGCTGAATAAGCAGGTATCTCTTCATTTTCCTTTTCTTTATCTAGAAATCCTTTTCTAATTTTCTAAATCATAATTTTCTTCTTGCTTTTACACCTTTGATTAACAACTTTATGAACATTTCTTATGCGCTCTGTATCATTTTTTTAAAATGCATTATGCATAAACTGTGAAACTGGCAGTTAAAGCATTTGCATTATTGGGCTTAAACCAGATTTATCATCATTAAATTTAATGATTGCTAAACAAATACCAATTTCAAGAAGTTTTCGTGACATAAAAATTTCCTTCGGACATTTTTTCCAGATCATACTATTTAAGCATTCGTTTCTATTTTGAGTTTGGCCAAGCAAACATTTTAACAATAGCGATTCTGCTGATAAATCATGCCAAACAAATCTTTAATTTTAATTGGAAGGCTTAAGTTTTTCTTGTATGTTTTATTACCTGTTAATTTGTCAGCCTGCCAAAACACCAGGTATCTTTGGTGCGTGGACAAAACTGATGACTAATATTTTCATCCAAAATGTTTGTATTATTAAACATAGTTGCCCATATACATATTGTGTGTACCAATTGCAAGCAAACGATCTTTTTTTTGTTCTAGAACGAGTTCTTGGCATATTATTTAATAAAACTTTTAAATTAAAACTGTTGTTACAAAAAGTGTTATAATCATATATAAACAAAGCATTAATTTTAAGGCTTATAGCAAACGAATTTGTGCTTTGAAAGTATGATTAATAACTTTAACTTAACAAGCAGCTAAAGGGCTATTTCATTGTCATAAACTGGAAATATATTTTTCCATTATGTCAAGGTAAAAAAGGTAAGAAGATGGTTGCTAAGGACGTTGCTATGTCCGAAAAATTTATTAGTCTTTAAAAAAGCTGCCTAAAACACTATTTATGTTATTTTTTTTTCAAAAAATAGTTTTTAAACTGTGTTCCTCATAAAATTTTACATCAAATACGATAATAATAATTTTTTTGATTTTTTTCAAAATTTCTGGTTATGTACCACTTTAAAGAATCAAAAGATTCTTTAAGGTCTAAAGAATCTTTTGATTCTAAAGAATCAAAAGATTCTTTAAGTTGATACATAACCAGAAATTTTCAAAAAACATTTTAATAACTTGTGAGTTCTATTTTAGGATCATTATTATTTTTATCTTATAAAAATGACTTATATTTAGCATCAAAAATATTACACACTATCTTATTTGCGGATAATATTTTATTCTCACAAAGATGTTATCCCGCTTAGCACGCTTACATTGGACCAACGTATGTAAAACCATCGCGAACGTTGGCACTTTTTTCCAATTCAAAACCAAGGTTTATCCAATGTCTTTTGGTTAATGGTAAAATTATTACCGACGTAACTAAAAACATCTGGCAAATTTACATTGGTAAAAAAAAAAAAAAAAGATTTTGTTTTAGGCCGCGCTTTGGAAAATTTTAAAGCTGATTCAAAACGGCATTTAAGTAGACTTCGATATAGTAGACGTAGATTTCGATAACTTCGATAACTTCGAATAAACGTAGACTTCGATATACTAGATTTATATCTTCTTTAAGAACAAATATCTTTTTTAAGAACAATTTAAAAGTTTTGAATTAATAATTATCTAATTTAGATTTTTTTTACTAGCTGTTTTCCTTTTTCAGCTCTGAATACTTATTTATTTATTTGATATTATTTATATCTTAATATTTATATCTTAATTGTTTATATATTAATATTATTTGTATTTATATTTAATTTATTTAATATTATTTATATCGCATTATTTTTAATAAAGCTTGACGCAATTTTTTGTTAATAATAACTTTCACGATTATCTCACTTTTGTATTATTATTATTTATTTATTTTAATTATTCCGCTGGAAGATTGTTAGCAAAAATTTATTTTATTGCTGAAGTTTTGTAGGTACTTATACTGTTTTATTTTATCAGTTATTTTTGGGGCAGTCCCATCAACAAGCTCTTATTAGGTTATCGCACCTCCAAAACAAGGCTTTCAAAATTATTTATTTTCAGAATATTAAATTTAATCCTAATGTGCTCTACCTAACTTCTAAAGTATTAAAACTATGTGATTATATTCAACTTTTAAACTGTCAATTTGTCTGGAACCACCAACACAATAACCTACCTTTAACTTTCATTAATTTCTTTTCCAAAAGTGCCAACAATCGTTATCACCTTCGTTCTGATAATAATTTAAACCTGTCTGTCTCTAAACACCGCTCTCATAATTACGGGCATAAATCCATAAAATATCAAAGCACTAAAATTTAGAACAACCTTCCTTATGAACTGAATTCATTCTCAATTCATTCTCAACCTTTAAAACCAGTTTATTCTACTTTTTATTAAAAAAATATAGTTAATGTTTCTATAATCAATTTTTGTTGTCTTAATATATATATATATATATATATATATATATATATATATATATATATATATATATATATATATATATATATATATATATATATTACAATTTCTATTCTATATTTTTTATTGATTATTGTTATTTTGTTATTTTTACTAATATTTACTATTAATAACTACTTTTAACTTTTATTATTACTAATACTAATATTGTTGTTATTATTGCTATTATTATTATTATTATTGTTATTGTTAT